CTGCGATATGAAGGAGCTTATGAGTCTCTATGTAGTGCTCTTTACCCAGTGGGGTAGAAAAGCCAATACATGACGATGAAATCCTTATCTAATTGCTTTTGGCATTTGGCGTCTCATCCTTGTCAATTGAATCCTATGATATGAGCCGACAGTTTTGATTTTTCTTCTCGTTGACAGGGACATTTGATTAAGAGGTATATTGAGGGGACCCGGAAAATTGTTCTCCACTCATCTTGCCAAAGTATCCTTTCCACATACCGGTATGAAAGAAATGAATTAATCAATTTGGTGGGCCGAGGTTTTTCAGTGCACATTTACTACTGTCTGCAACGAGCTTCTTACAACTATGGGCGATGCTATTTTGATGTCAAAACAACATCTATTAATAGATGTTTCGTGCGAATGGTGACCAAAAAGGTTCTCTTCGATCATTGACACACGTTTCCACGTTTGGGCATCAATCGAACAATTGAACCTCCTACAAATACTGATATAGGCTGTAGAAGCAGTTATATTAGCGTTAAATTCTCCCAAAGATGACGTTAATTTTTTTGCTCTTGAATATTTACATTTAGCATAATCGTAGAGGGCGGTGAAACTCCCTAAATGTCAAAACGAGGCTAAAAAAGAATGTTACATACTGGCCCTTTGAATATAAGCTTCATATTCTTTTCTGTTTCAATATAAGCCTCAATGGTCTTCATTTTTCAGAATAGCGCCGTGAAAGACTGAAGAACCGCACAGAGTGTTTTGGGGGTAATGTAAGGGACTATGTTTCAGGATATTGGTTCCGTCGTACCGGTATGTGATCATTCACTGCATTGCGTCACTGGGTGAAGAAGCTTAAGTCGCGCAGAGGTGACGCACGTGGTTGGGACGACCTTTCAAACTCTCCAGTGCGCAAACCTCTGTATTTTGTGTGCATTCACGTGACAACAAGCCGTTTGTGAATAAAATTTGAATAAAACCTGGTAAACTGATTGCACATAAACATAACGATTTGAATTCCCTAGACTAAAGACACTGTTCCTATACCTCGCGATTCGGGGCAAGTTTTTGCATAGCGACCACTATCTCTGGAATGGACTGGTTCCTTTGTGTGCCCTTCTTATCCATTGAAAACAGTGTGTTTATGCAAGGTGTCTCGTATGTAACTAAGCAAAATCTTGCCCTGAATCATGAGGTATAGCAGCAGTAGAATATGTAGAATTCAAATTGTTATGTTCACATGAATTTAAAGAACTCAGTTTACCAGATTCAATAGAAATTCATGTCGCCAGAGGCTTTAGGTGATGCGTTCCTGGATGTGCGCTGGGCGGGATGACGCGCACTCCTTACCAAGTACAAAAAATAAATTAATTAACGGCCCGTCTTGTTGACACTCGGTGTCCGTAATGATGCAGAGTATCGAGTTGGGGATGGAATGGCGCCATCTCATCTCGTAATTCAACGATACAGAAATACCTCTGAAAAAATGGCGCCATCTCATCTCGTAATTCAACGATACAGAAATACCTCTGAAAAAAGGTTCTCTCAATAAAACATCAATGAATGCTCGTTGTGGTTCATCCACCTGAGCACCTGCGAGTATACATCATTTCTTCGTTACCATTCGCGTCAAGCACACTGTTAGTGGGGACGAGTTTACATCACCGGGGGGTTTGTTTAATAACGTTGTTAGATCGTCAGAGTTGGAGCTGCCTCGTGCCCCGAGAACTCCGCCGATCCGTTGTCGCTCCTTTGCTCTGCTTATCTTGCTTCCATCGCACCGAAATCCGTAACATCCGTCGCTTGCATACTGGGTGTTTGTATGACATCTGGCCAGGTGCGTCGAACCACCAGTCTGCAGGTGAAGGATCCCGTCGATTGGAGGAGGAAAAACAGACGTCTGTACCGGGCTGAAGCATTGATATTCAGCATCAGTGACGTGCGGGCTTACTTTGCAGATGCAAAGATGCAATTACCTAAGACAGTTAATAATTGATTTCATCCATCCCTCGCAATATAAAGCTTGTTACAAAATCCACTATACTTCCTGTCCCAAATTTGCATAGTTTAATACACAGACAAACAAGAGCAATTTGCGTTTGCTAGAATTTTTGTTCCATTTTTTGTTTTGTGTCGTGCAAAACATAATGTGTCTCATTTGTACATCTCATTTTATTACCCACGATAAAATCTAGACGGAGGGCTCGGGGTATGTAAGCTGGAATTTATTGAAGCATTGCTTTTTGATATTCTTTAAGGAAGTTTTAAAAACGCTTTGTCCAGTTACAACTTATGGGGGTGATATCGCGAACAGGTAGAATCTGAGGCTGCCGCGTCCACCGCGTTGGTGAGAAAATTTTATTAAGAAAATCAACTGACTGTGTGAGTGGTATCAATTTGACCGATGACCTTTGGAGCCAGCCATGATGAAATCGTGCCAATCGTGATGTTTTGACTAGTTTCCTTTTACAATGTGGAACTTTACTCAGGTATGCCACCTTTTCTGATTGTCCAATGATGGTTTGCGCAGCCATGCGATAACCATAATGACAACCATTACCCAGACAGTGTTTTGTGCACAGTCTATTACCAAATATTACGGGCATGCTGTATCAATATACTTCTCTTAAATACGAAAAGCGTTAGTTAGTCGTTGCCAACCCCTCTTGAAACGGAGAGAAATTAAAGGAAACATACAGTGGAGAGTCAGCTCAACTTGTTTTCATGTATAGTAATGTGTCAAAATACAAACAAGATTTAAATGCAGGTTTTCATTTGAAATGAAAGAAGCTCGGTCGTTTGTCCAGTTCTTAGAAATATGTTCATAACGTTATGAACGAGGGCGCTATTTTAATGTTGTGATATAAGGCACTCCTTGTCAAGGAGCGTAGAAACATTGCGAATATCAATCCTTTTAAATCATCAACCAATAATGTTTCAAAGTAATGTTGGTCACTGTTACTGCCCAAACAATCCGTTCAACATGAAAACCAACCTACAGCCAGCAGATGTAGAAAAGTGTGATACGTGGTATACACCAAGCTACCGTACACTCCCGTTGTGCCGTGAATGACATCATGTTTTGGCCCAGGAATATAGAAATCTTCATCAGCATGAAATGCAGAATATTTCTACAAAGGAGGGGGACAGTCATTGTCACGTGTAAAGAAAACTGAAACAGTATTTCACGTACACAAGTCATAAAAACCTATTGCACGGTTACTTTAAAGTGGAGCTCCAGGTTTGCTGTAAGAGTAGGGTCTCAGGCGTTTTCCCCGTTTTATTTTATTTTCATCTGAAAGTTGCCCTCTGGCATAATCCAGTTGTATTTAAGTACTTTTCTTTCCACAGAACATTCCGTGTTTTCTGTATCACCCTTATTATGTACAGCCCGATGTTTATAGAAATTTAAGGAAAAGATTGGACGATAGCGCCCATTCTTTCCCCCTTTGAGTCCATCGACACCAAAGATGGAGATGAAATACGCGCCGGACTTCATTAGTCATTTATTAATTTCCCAAGATCTTGCAATGATTTCCCCGGTGTTCACAGGTGCCGGTCAAGCTTTGCAATCGTTGGAGCGTGGAGACGATCATGTTATCAATCTCCCTGACTGCATGCATGTCGCTGAAAAACAGTGCACCATGAGTGTATAGGGTCGATGCCTTTGCCCTACACATCGCCGTTCAAAAGTCGGTCCTTTCTGCAGCCTATTGAGAAAATACGAAGTTTTAGTAGGCCTATGTGAAGTCTCCACTGCCTTTATGGCGACGCCTGCAGATGAATATAAAATTGACAAGGTTTTATTAATTCGGTGCAGTTGGCATATAATTTATCTCTAGATTTATTGAACTGTGCGCTATTGGGTAACACTTACGCGCCAGTACTTTTTTGTTGAGTCTAGATCTTCCTTTGTTGGATTTGTTTACTTGTTGGGGTCCATTGAATCTCTCCGACTAATTTTTTCCGAGAGTATCTTCTTACTTGTCGAAAGGCATTATCCACCAGAGAACCTCCGTCAAAGGCCCGGCGTGAATTTGACGAACCCTGGGTGAGGTCGGCAGATATTAAAGTGACCCGTCGGTCCATCGACATGTGACTGCTACTGCTCTGTGTATGCCCAAAATTAGATCCTGTCCTGTGCCCAAGCTCTGCCAAGAAACTGCCTTGACCGCAAAAGGGGAAGAAGAGAGACGACTATATACAGAAAACACTGTCAACGGCAGCATTAATCGGGTTTCAGGGCTGTGGGGGACGGGATTCTAACTCAGGAAAACATCGATTTTTGTTTTGACCGGCTTTGCACGCACAGGTCAAATTGCAAGCTAGAATGTAGACTAGCATTCTCACTAACATCGCTTGAAACTCTCCTTGTGGAATTTTTATTTTCACCTCAGGCTGAAATGGTTTCCCGAAATTTGTTTTCAAATTCAAAACCAAAACATATTCAGCATGTGGTACTGACTGAAATTTCTCTCAGTTGGTCATGCCACAAACGCCCTGTAAGTTAACAGTGGTGTCACGTTTCACCTTTTCTTATTATTTTCCTTCGCTCATCGTTTAGTAGGTTGGACCCCAGATCGAAATTAATGCATAGGCCCCCTTTGGACGTGGAACGGGGGAAGCAGGCACGGTCACGTCTATAAATAAAACTAAAAGGGTGATATTTACAGCCATTTTCTTTACTGTGTACTGACCTCATAAGCGTGACGGGTCGTTGAGAATATCATAAACGCGTCAATTCACTGTAAAACGTGCTTTGGTTCACTTCTTTTTTCCATCGGCAGATCAAGGAGGCAACGAGGGGTAGGCCTGTCCCCTCCACAAAGAGAAAGTTTTTCAGAAATAATGAGATAAATTTCCAACTAATTTGTTTCCGTTCCAATAAAATATAGAAAGTTCCAAATGCATCCTCACTTTTCAGGAAGGTCATAAAAGATTACAGACAGAAATGTTCAAATTTTATGGCGTCCAACAATTACTTTGCCCTCCCCCCCTCTCTCTCTCCGCAGATTCGCCGTCTCTGCTCGGTAACCACTGACCTCTGATTGCCTAGGACTGAAGGGTTTTGTCAACGGCAGAAATATTCCACGGATGACTCGCATGTCCAATAATCGTAAGCCGGGATAAGAGCTTTGAATTTAAAAAAAATGGCAAGACATGGTAATCAACATTCAATGCTTTTTTTTTAACGTAAATATAACATTTTATCTTTAAAATGCCTGATTTGTTTTTGTCTTCGTTGCTGAAACGCGCCATTTTTTCTCATCCTGCTTTTGGCATGTACATCATCGCTCACTGCGTCAGGCGCACAGGCAGAGAGATGCAGTCGGAGACGTGTTCTATTATGTGTTCTCCACGTTAAAGACAGGAAAACCAATTCTGCTGAATCCCCTAGGCATTGCAGGTCCTAATCTGGGAGGCAATGCTGCCAGACACTCCGATTGCCCACTTGATTGGATTCTGGAAAGGGCGCCTCGCTATCGTTTGGGCCGGTATGCGGCCAAAGTCCCATTAGTGCGAAGTTTTCACGTTCTTCAAAGTGCATTTTCATGAAGGTTTTTAGATTTAATTTACCCCAAGAATGACCCAGTAGCACATGTGCTAGATCTGGCCACTGTAATTTGATTGCTGAGCCGCGGCATAGTCAACAAATGCATTGCCCAAGGCTGTTTCTAATGACACTCCTGTAATATGTGGCAAGTATTCAAACCGTAAGGAGGCTTTGCATGACATTTGGAGAAGGATGGCCGCCAATAGGATCGTATTCGAGTGTTTCACGTCTACCACTTTGTTTCAGTCGTTCCAACCGTCTTTTGAGGGCGCTCAGAAGGGCTTATAGACCTCTTCACTAATAAATTCATAATTATACATGCATGCGCATAAATAGCCTTGGCGGCAAGAAGTGTGAGCGGGCCATTGAAAATGAACAGGGGTGCGACTTCGATGATCATTTTCTCTCAGGTTTTCTGACTTTGTTCATTTTTTCTTCAGAAAATCCCGTTAAATCGCTTTCGCTATTAGTTTCTACCTTAAGTGGAATTTTTAGTGCTCTGTAAAAAGATTTTAAAATCGTACCTTTTCCTCAGAAAACCTGAGAGAAAATGATCATCGAAGTCGCACCTGTAAATTTTCAATGGCCCGCTCAAACTTCTTGCCGCCGAGGCCATTTGTGCGCATGTGTGCATAATTATGAATTTATTGGCGAAGAGGTCTATAGCCTTCACAAAATTTTGTAAAGGAAGTCCAAGTGTCGGAGGGCTTTGTGGGTAAATTCCTCTACGCCGGTTTAATTAATGCACGTACATTCTGTCACGCAAACATGTCGACCTGTGTCGATTCTGTGCAACTATGGTGCAACTGAGAATTCAAAAATGCAGCTCAAAATAAGCCAATCCACTCAGTCACGTATAAGGCCGTGTCAACGAGCAAATTCACTTCTAGCAACCTGGAGCTGGGTATTATGTTGGAAAACCATGGTTTTGCCAGTGCGTCCGCGTATTAGCGTTGGAGCGTTGGGTCGACTTTAACCCAACACAGTTTGTCCGGATCGATTTCCGGTATAACACCCATGTACTGCTCTGCTCTCGCTGAGTAGTTACCGGTACTTTGCGAAGTGGTTATTCCGTTTGCACTTCTCTCAGGAAAAACTTGAACAGGCGAGTCGAAAAGGAGAGACCACTAAAAATCTCTCGGTAGAGATAAAGGAGAATTGCGAGAGAAGCGTACCGAATACCGAGAGTTCTGCTGATATCGAATTACAAGAAATGCGAAGCAAAGCTGATCCGAACATTGATTTCCACCACCTATCATTTAGGGGTACGATTTCTTAAAATTACACGACGTTCTGCAGTATTTTCATTCAGTATGACCTTTCAAGGCTCACAAGAACGAATAATTCTAATGCCGGCCACACACAAAAAAGCCACGAGCAGAAATTGAAGCCCAAGTTTGAGAAACGGCTGTGCAATTACAGCAATTATGGCGTAAAGGGATACAGCTCCAAACGCCGTACCTCCACGTAAGTTCGTATGCGCTACATTGCTTAACACTGTTGTATTTGTAACCGCATAGTAGACGGACAACATCCCGAGGTGGCCAGGAACACTGCAAACCTTACTTGCAAATGACAGGCCGTTTTTTCCCTGAGAATTGGTAGTTATCCCCCCCCCCCTGATCCGTTGGTTTCAATGCAGCGCAGCATCCCCGTGCTTTGGGCCTTGCTCAACTTAACGAAGACATTGGCACTCTGTATTTAAATTGGTAGACTTGCACTGTTGACAAGAAACTAATCAAGGTTTTGCTTCTCGGAGTTAGGTAAGATCATTGTGCCTGTACGTGCATGTATTAGTCGCCTCAAATGTCCTCGAAAGAGGCCACTTCAGAGGGCTTACCCCGCAATTTGTGCAGACTTTGCACAGTATATGTATAGGAGGCTAGACAAGAGGCCAATAAGGCCTGGACCAAATTACCCGACTGTGGTTCGAATAAACATCTGCACCTATGAATGCCGCCAGTTAGCGTCTTCATCCATTTCCAATTGACTTGTGTCTTCATTCTAGCCGTAGCCAAGTGATAGAGCCTGAAAATAAAAGGTCTCGCAGCGAGCTTCTGGAACCCTTGCGCGGTCTGCCTGTGGGGATTTTACATTGGGCCGTCCTGTCACGTTCGATAATTTTTGAAAGAATAATTCTTAATTGAAACCACCCCATGAAATACTCATGTTGGAATTTGGGGTTTGTCTTCCTCAAGTAATATTTTGGAAAAGTCACCTGGAGATGGGTAAAAAACGAATTTTATTAACGACCTTTCACGTACGACGATATCGTACCAAGGTCTCCTTGTTCATGCACGTTTGTTTTCATTCGCCGTGCTTTCTTGAAAACGAGGTGGTACAACCTTGCAAAGATTTACCAACCTACAGTCGATGGGTTCCAGATTCTGTTTAGTTGACATCACGCAGTTGTTGTCAGCAAAGGTTAGATAAAATATCAGAATCTCTCGTTGAAATAAAATATTGCTTTAAGTTTATTACCTTATACAGTATAAAAGTGTGAAAATGTTTTCATTTTTTTCGGCTTTTACCGACAGACTACCATAAAAATTCAAACCGTAAATGTTCATCTGTGAACGAGACTGCTGCATTGCACTGTTCTTCATTTTTGGGAAGTGATGGGTCAATTTTTGGCAGGATCTTTCTCTTTTAGGTCAGGTGATTTTTCAGTTTCTATAAATTGATATGCTAGCAAATATTTTTAAAAGCCCCATTTTTGAGTTGGATCTTTCAAAGAATTAACTGAACCCCCCCAAAAATACAAATTCTAGTATCTTTGTACGTTATTTTTCATATCCAAAGGTTCTAGAAGCGCGCCATCAGAGGTCAACTTTCAGGCTCTGTTTGGACGCAGTCTAAGGTATCGCGTGAGCGCTAATTAACAGCCAGTGTTTCATGACCTTTACAACATGAACCCAACGGTAGCATTCACTCGTCGCGTACTCGTTTTCCGTATCCTGACCTCAGAGAGTCAAGTTCAGTCTGCTAGGTAGGCCTCTTTGCGTTTTATGTATGCTTAGCGCAACACTAAACTCAAGGCTATTTTTGTCTAAATCTAAGTGAAGACGCAGCCAGAATACATGCAGCGTACATGACGTTTGGCAATATTTTCTTCACCTATAATTTTTATGCATTTAGAAACGCTCAAACCGTTTAATGTACAAGAAAGAACTTATGTTTATGCCCAGTTGAAATATCTCCTTCACTTCCATGGACAAAGTCACTTGTAATTTCCTGAGACACCTTGATGTAAAAAAACAACCCTCTAAACGCACTGTATGTGACGGGATAGCCTCCAGCACAAGAATTGTAATCAAAACTTCAACCAAATGTTGACGGCTGCCCGTGCAGTGATTGCTTTTTGACAAAACATCCACCTGCCTGGATTGTGTAATTAATTGACAACCCAATTTGGTCACATCATCAGCATAATCTTCCATATCACCACATGAGGCCATTTAATCTCGTTTGCTTCACCATCATAATTCTGATTGCAGCAAGCTCAGCTGGCAAAGGACGACAAAATTATTAATTTTGTTAATGGGTACCAGCTCTGCTGGTCCTACTCCAGCACTAATATATACAAATCCTCTATCATGTAAGCTTGACATATAAACGGGGTTTTAGTTTCATTATTTTCAAAACAAAAAAAATCAGTCGTATGACTTTTTAAATATATTTCCTGGTATTTTGGGGGGGGGGGTGTTTTGGGGAACCACTAAGGATCGGCCTAAAAGGTCCAGGCCTTTGCCTGTCCACTGAGAAAAAAATTATAGGCCCTATTGAATAAAAACCAAGTTTTTGTCTTTTTGATAAATTTCCTGCTTCTTCATATCAACATATTACTAGACCCAAATAGTGAAAACACGTCTATTTTATTGTAAATGTACGGTTTGGGCTGATGTGCTTACACGTGACTTGTTAAGGGTCCGATCAGACATAAGAGGGCGCAATTCCTTCCGCCAAACTTGAAGAGATTTGAAGCCGTCCTTTCTGCGTGAAGCGGTAGATGGCGCTACATAAAGTGTTAGGTGGTCAAATGATGGCCACCAGGTGCGCGCAAATGGTCTAAGCCTTAAAATATTTGAACTGTGGCTGCTAAGTGCATGGTATAATCAAAAGGAAATTTCACATAACAGTATCTCATAGGCCTAATTTAATATTGATCATTTGTCATTTTAACAGGATCAAACTTATTTTTTTTATTATATGTCGCAAATAAAATACAACATGAAGAGTATATTTCGGAAATGAGATAATCGCTATTTTGTCCTCTGAATTCCACCTTCTTGTGATTGCCGCCAGCCAGATTCGACGAGGTTTTATTCAGTGAAAAAAACTGAAAGAGTCAGAAGAGTGGAAATAACGTTCAGGTACCTCAGTTCATTTTGTATTTAAGTACTTAGTGGACAAAGTACTCAATTTTTGAATGGCGTACATTTCATTTTGGAATTAAACCGTTCATATTTTTCCATGTTCCTTTAAATCTGAAATTATTTTGTGAATAATTGGTTTCGGTAGACTGATTGACGTCTGACAGACAGAATATTGAGTTTCCCCTTCAGGGTTTTGTGTGAATTTGTTTTCTATTTATCTTTGTCTGTTCGGCAGTTTTGTTATATTTCTTCAAATTTCAAAGAGTTCAATTCAGAATGGGACCTTGGAAAGTCATCGCGATAGCGAACCACTGTGGAAGTAGATTGCAATAAAACTTGGGGATAACTCTCTCCAATGAAAGTCTGAAGAGCGCCTTCTAGCGGAGAGAATTTTTTTATTTGCCAAGTGAATTTCAACACGTGTCTTTATCTGTGGGCAAACCGTAGAAACTTAAAACGGGCCGGACATAACCTTAATCATGGAGGCAGAAACCATGCCAATTGATGAGAATATTCTTGTGATTAAATGTAATGCACACCAGTTAATTGAATCACCTTCGACAGTAATGAGTTTAAATTATGAGACTTTCTGTATTAATGACAGTCACGACCGCCTACCGTCCTCACTCTCTTCAGTTGCACCGTCCTGGCCTTGTCCTGTGCGGGGAATAGTCTTTGTTGGGATTCGCTTCCACCATGGTAGACGTTGTGACGAGTGCAAGTGTTGGATTGTTTCTGGCGTAATCTATTTTCGATATATCCGCAGCAGATAAACCCTCTGACGTCATTCGAGTTTCATCACTTTGTGGAAAGACCTGCTTTCGGGTTGTCCATTGGTGTTGGACCTATATGGTCTATCCGTACTTTTCCAATACGGCTACGTCGACAAGGTATCGTATGCAGCAATGCTAGAGTAGAAGTGACAATTCCTTCATTAGAGTCGGTGCAAAGGCAGTGTCGTCCATAAGAGGGAGAACACTGACAAACTGCAGTATCTAGTCTGTTTAAATCAGTACTCAGTTTTCTACACTTGACGTGTAGTGCACTCTTTGAGAATCACGGTCCTGAAGACAGGCTCGTGCTACCGCCGTGAAATCTCCATTAATGGATCGATATGGATGACATGCAGGCATCATCTCTTCAACCAAAATTAACCTTAGGGAATTTCCTGCGAACTGCCGAGTTCCTGGAAGTTCGTTTACGTCTGCCGCGCGGTTTGTGCGTCGAAGGACTGGTTGTGTCCTCGACTGGGATATAACCAGTTAACTGCTCGCGACGTGAACGAGGAAAACATCTGTGGATAGCCACACACTTAAGTAGAGTGGACGTTGACACAAGTGGCCGCGCGGCATGAGGTTGTCACGCGAGGTCCACGACCGGCTTAAGGTGGCGCCAACGCAGGACCAGATGATAACTGCCGAGACGGTTCTTGACGATGAAGAAACAATTTGTTGCTGTTACAAAATTGTAATGCGAGACGAATGTGATAATTTGAGGTTCCTGTTGAAACTTGGCACAAGTTGGCAGATTGAATACAGTCCCGTAAATGAGATGACGACCAGTTCATAACTTGATTCATTTTATGTGAATTCATTTGCTCCTTCCTTACATGCAATTTTACATACAATAATTGAGCAGAATGACGTCAACCTTTAAAAATTCTACAACTAAGAAAACGTCAATGCCCAATTTTCCCATCTAGAATGTTTTGTAATTTTCGACACACTTATCTGCTCATTATTGTCTGTTTTCTGCACTTCCTAGCTCGTAATCCTTAACCACTTCCAGCCAACCCGCCAAGGAAGAGTTATTAGAAGCCACTCCCATATCGCCCTGATATCACGAGGAAAGCCCAGATCTATTTGTAATGGCTTTGGAAATGGCATGAATTCACCGTGCGTAATGCACATGTCACAGGACTAATCCCGTCTCATCGGTCAACGATGCGCTAACAGCCCCATCTTGGATGTTGGAACAACACGTGAGACCCTTTACACCCGCTATCCCAGTGCAGTGCGAGTAGGAGAAAGAATCCGATTCAGTGCTATACATGCACACAGACTTGAAGTCTGTCATCAGCGGATATCTTTACATTGGCCCTCCGTTTACAACTGCCACGCAACCTCCACTGAAAGAAAAATGCGGCCACGTGGTACTAAACACGACTCGCTTTATCGTTTACGGTTACATCTGTGATACGCATTGGGTGTTCGTCTTCCGCTTGTGAGTTATGATTGCTGTGGAAATAAGGGAAAGAGGGAAGTTAATATGTCAGAACTGAATGATACGTTGGATGCTATACACTTTATAGACGCACGGACACAATCAATTTGCTTGACAATGGAAGTCACATATAACTTAACCAATGAGGTTAATGCACAATGGTTCCTGGGCACATATGCCTACAGCTGGTCTGATACCCTAGTCCACACTATCATCCTTCCCTTCATTCTTAGTGTTGGGCTCCTGGGAAACGTGGCCTTTTTGATTGTGGTATTACGGATCGAGTGGATGCGAACCATCACCAACTGCTACCTGGTGAACCTGGCTGTGGCTGACATGACCTTCCTGGTCGTCTCGATTGGGGAAAAGCTTCACCAGTACACGCGGACCCCCTTCGTCTACGACGACTTGCCCAAGGGCCCCACCGGCTGCATTCTGGTCCCCTTCACCAAAGACCTCTGCTTCTTCTCTTCCCTCTTCTTGGTGACCTGCATCTCGGCGGAGCGATTCAACGCGGCCTGCCGGCCCCTGAAGCAGCGGCAGAGCAAAGGGGCTAAGCTGAGGGCACGGACGGCCAGGCTAGCCACTGGGGCTTGGGTCTTGTCCCTTGCCATGGCAAGTCTCCGAGTCTCTGCGTCCTGCTGCCGGTACAGAGTCTATTGCCTCCTGTGGCCAGACAATGACGCTTACCTGGATTACCCAGGAGTCGTCGGTGAGTGTCGGCCGGCCGCGGAGTGGATTGCCATCGTTGCCAAGAGCATCCAGCTCGTTCTCTTCGTACTAGCTATGGCAGTCAACACCGCATTTTACGTCAAGATCACCCGCGCCGTGCAGTGCACCTCAGCCCGTCCACACGCTCGCCGGGTGCCCTCCACCGGCAGCTCCTCCATCGAGGCAAAGATAACCCGTATGGTGGTGGCCACGGGGGTCGTGTTCTTCCTCTGTCTAGCTCCCTACGAGCTCTTATCGGCACTGGTGATGATCCTTCCCACCTTCGACGGTAACATAGTGTCGGCCATGCAGGTTTGCCGCATGCTGGTGCATCTCAACTCGGCAATCAATCCTTTCATCTACAACGTGGCTAATCCTCGCTACAGGAGGGCCTTCCGAGTGGTGTTCACATGCAGCCGAGCCGGTCGGACCAGAGAATTTTCTCAAAATACAAAGGACGTGCCTACCAGGCCCCCAAACGCCAATACTTCAGATAGGAGTACTTTCCTCAAGCAGAAAAGCCACCGTGGTCAATCGACGCAAGGTTTTTGCTCAACCAACTTGTAAAAACTGCCCCTCGTGGTGCTAGCCACGCCCTTTAGGATGTGGCTAGCACCATGAGAAACCAAATGATGAAATAATGAAACCAAAAAATGGTTTCATTAAAATTGTACATTTGGTATTTTCTGAACGATCTCTTTTAGCGTTGTACCACCACTGATCTTGTGACTCGAGTAGAGTTTTCTGATGATGGAATCGAGTCGACTAGGTACTGACCTCTTGACTTGAGTCGAGTGAGCCACCTTAAGGAAGCTTCAATCGACTGGAGTTTTATGACAAGGGACTTGAATTGAGTCATTGCTAGCAGTGACTCAAGTTGAGTCGAGTAATCCGTTGGGGCTCGAGTCAGGCCGAGTCGCCAAAATTTGTTGTTTACGTGTTTGTGCATAAGCAGCCTTGTTAAGAAGAGGAAATTGCAGCCGAAAAGACGTTTTTTAGGGGTATACCTTAAAACTTTAATTCAACAAATGATTTAATGATTATTCACAAAGAGATGTTGCCTACCGTACTTTCCAGTGGCTTTAAAACAAGAACACTCTCCCAAAAGCATTGCTCATATTTCTTATGCTAGCTGTTCACACGAATAGGGTTGGTATTACATACTAATCATATGAAGTATGTTTTATTTTCAATCCACAGATCTCCAGCTTGTAAAGCGTTATACGTGTTGTTTGGATTTAAGTACATGTAATCTTGAAGGAGGTGTTTGTTTTCTAGATAAATTGATTGTTTAGTTGTACATAATTTCAATATTTAATTGCCTCTTTCAGTTAGTTTTCTGAATCAGCGACACATTGGTCTGATGATTAACAGTACACATATCGTATCAGTTTGATTGTATTGTGTGTATATATTTTGTGGCATGTTTCACCCAAGAAATCGCTTTTCAAACAAAATCAGGAAAAGGTTAAATATCTTAAAAATAAAAATTAGTATTCTTTTAGTCGCAAATTTAAAGTTTTTTTCCTTGTTCCTTTTTAGTTTAAGTTGCCCGATAGTATAAATTTATTACTGAAATCCTATGTTACTATTAAATGTTGGTGTCGACATCTGTTTGCATTTTTTTGTCGAAGATCAGTTTTGAAAATCAAAATGAAACTGCCCTTTGATGCTCTTCTAAAGACAAGGAAAAGTTGCGAAAATAAATCCCCCCAGATTTAAATCAAGCCAATAGCCTTGGGTAAAACTCCGGGTGATTTAGGGAGAAAAGTGGGTTAATGGACGGAGTTGACACTTAGATATAAAGCAAAAAAAAAAAACCAGAGCAGAATATCTGAACTCCAACCTGGGAAACTGCCTATAGGGCTTGCAGTGCGCAGAACAACCTGGAGCTTACAGCTAGGTACTTATGCCGTTATGAAAGAAACCGAATCTTGTCATTGTAGGCGTATCTGAGAATGTAGCCCTTGGCTTGAAAAGAAGGCAATAGCAAAAAAATTGTCTCCTGTCACCACTTACCCACATTTTCTGACAGTGATAAAGTACGGTGCCATTTTGTGCCAGTAGTATATATGTTTTAACAACAATCCCATCGTCATCGCTTGTTTTTGTTTTGTCGTCATTCGGCTATGTCTCGTTGTACCATTTCGGCAAAATTCCGCTCTGATGCCGACGGGGTTAACTGGCAATAAATGGAGGGGGTTGTAATAGTTGTCACACTGCCCCCATATGTGTGTTCTCTCATGGACAATTGTGAAGTGTATGAAATCTAACTGTAGTCAGTTACACCAGCCGAACATGTTAACGTGGCTATTATGTATTTCTTCGCTCGTTCTTGAAGGGGGGGGCTAAAACGTGCGCCCTCTTCCGGTTTCTACCCTCTTATTTATTTCAGAATACGGGCTCGTTTACCTAAAAATTTCTTCCTTCTTTGCCGCCTTTCTCTTCATCCATGTCTTGCTTGTTCGACTTACCAACGCATGCATATACTGAAGTGATAGCTTCAAATTTTAAACCCTTTTTTTTTTACTTTTGTTGCATACTCAGTATTTCCTGCTGTTAATGTTTCGGAATATAACCGAATTTAAACCCTCGGGTTACTCTCACTTACAGAGATCCTGAAGCGACGTCCAAGTTGTTAAGATCCTGACAAATTCCGGCATTCTGAAATAGAATGGAACAGGCTGGCCCCCGTATGTAATGGCTTTCTCTGCACTCCCTGTCAATCAGCCTTTCCAAAGGAAAAACAGATAGGTCCTTGCTAAGCTGCTGTTATTGTCTACATGCTTTTCGGCCTCAATCAATAATGTATGTAGCAAGAGCCCATCTCAATTTATATTTCAGCCTGCCGGCATTGGCAATTATTATCACTTCGCTTTTTCAACTGCGTCATCCCATCTGCGGTCAGTTATTTTGTTTTTCTGGCTCCTACATACTTTCTTTATATTTTGGTCACGATGTGTAATATTTCTCATAATTGCCCTCTAGTCTGGCTGTAAATGTATCGTTCAAACTTTTCCAATTAATTGTGGATCTGTGGTGTTTGCCTGTAAATCTCAATAAATTACAGTGCTGACTTGTCATTCGATTCGAGGCTGAGCACTGTCTCATATTTATCCCTTGAGTGTTGCTCCTGGTGCTTCTGATTTACAGTTTGGTACATTATCTCGTTCACACGCGTATGCAGAGCTAGGTCCACAGTACGACCCGTGTCCGTTGCTAGTAACAGTCTAAATGCTTGCCTCACGCCGCCAAAGTCCCGCGAGATTTAAGAGGGTAATTGAAAACAGTGCTGATCCTACCCCGACTCGATCGCAACTCGGAGACGTGCCGTGAATGCGCGTTTTCGTAAGCTTGGTTCCTTGTTTTGTTCAGTTTCAAACTTGCCATACTAAGATACTGTGTGTTCGTTGTAAATGACACAAGGCTTTTCAACTCGCCACAAAAACATCCCAAGCACGTTTCAACTCGTCTGTATTTTGTTTCCATACATTTTTATATCTTAGCCCACGGCAACGCACGGATGTACTCGTTGTGTCTGATCATACAGTTCAAAATCATACTTTATTTCAAAGTGGGCAGCTTTTTGCCTTTGACTAAGTATTTATTTTTAATCTCTCAGTATAAATTATTAATACGTTCCTTAAAAGGCACGCATTACTCATAGCCTTAAAAATTTCTCTCTTTCTCTCTTCAGTCAACCTTTCGAAAGAAATGACATTTTAACGACACGTGACACGCGATCTGACCTTTACATTAAAGGATTCCAACCAGACTGAGCAGAGATAGCAATTAGCCGATGGTTGGTCATGATAATGAAGAGAATGATCGAGAAGATGTTGATGACCTCTTGCATGCAGTGATTGACCTCTGGTGCAACAATAAAGTTACTTTGTTTATTTGGCTTGTTTTTGTTTTGTCTTGCTTTGGGTTTTTGGGGGGTTGTCTTTCTTTCTTTCTTTTGCTAAATTCTCTATAACACACACTATCTGATACATTGCAATATCAGTTGAACCATTGCAAAGAAAATTTCACCGTAACCATGAACTGTTGACTACTTTTCAAAGCTGGATCAATTTTCAGATTCGTTGACCCTGTCACAACTGCACTCACACTCATGATGATATGAAGACTGCGAACTTAATGTAGGCCTATGTGAAGAACGTACGGCACTTTCAGTAATTTTTATTCTTGTACATGTACTGTAGAAAAATTGACACAATTAACACCGCTTGTGTGCATTTTGATAAAAGACAGATCAAATAGAATAGAATTCAAAAGAATAAGAACAAAGTAATAATTCCTGATTGGAGTGCATGTTCCCCTTGACCCCGCACCTTTATTAACACAATTGTTAGGAAATAAAATTGTGCATGCGGTACATTACTGGAGCCAAATGCTAGTCTGTCTCTTTGCCTGCAGTGCATGTTTTATAAATATTGACACAGAGTCGAGTACATGGAAAATCAATAGCCTCACCCTCGCCCAGTTTCATACCCAGGCTTAGTACTATCCGCCACCTCCCCGGGCCGTGGGAGCTACGACACCGAGCTACCGATGAGCAGGTGCAGCAGCTGGCCCATTCAAGGAGGGAACAAAACAGACTTTCGCCCGGAAAATGGGACAGGATTTACTGGAAAATATTCGACTGACTGGCTAAAACGATTCATTGTAGTGATTTTTGTTTTTCGTGGTTTCGCTCCTGGAAATTTGCGCTGCCAGATGCCTTGTCGATTAGCTTGCTGGATTACTGACTGCTTATGTCATGCATGAAAGATGATGATTAAAATAACACACTGGACGACATGAAAACGAAAATTTGTCACGAAATTTGTCTGGGATCATTTAAAAGCAACCTTGTAACTATGTGCAGAATAAAACCACGAGAGGATATCAGATGTCATGTAAATAACATTCGACAAGTAACTATCATCTATACTCAGAATTGTTATAACCAAAACCGATCAAAGTAAATTGTACAAACATCCAAAGCTACTTTTTTCCTGAAAAATTGTAATACTACATACATTGCTATTTTAAAAGGTTAAATGATAATTCATGGAAGAAATGAAATTGGTATTATTAGATCAGATGAAATTTCAAGCAAGAGGCGCTGGCTTGCATTGTTTACTCATCTTATGGCGAAATTTCTTTGAAACAGAACAGACTGCTGTTTTTCCATCACAACACCGAAGTAGGCCTATACGTTTTGTAGGGGTGATCGGGGTTGGTTAATGGATATGGGCGCAAGGTAATTCTTACGTGCAGGTCAATCATCTCCAAAGACCAAAGAGCCGCGGAGAGCAACCGTCGTAAATTGATTTCAAATACGTGCGGACTCGCTACGGCGCTCGACCATTTGACGGTTGGAAAAATCATGTTTGCGTGGCTAATTTGCAGCACTGCTGTAGTGATAGGAAAATTATGCAAATTCACTCCCGGTTACCATTTTACCACTCCTGTTATATTTGTCTCAAGCTTCTCATGCATCCAACAAATTCAATTTTCTAAAAGGTCCGCTAACCTTGAAACCGTACCCTCACCTTGATTTTTGATGAATAATGTGGTGGAAAATTCTACGATGGAGCAAGCAAATATCATAATATCATAATATTGTCCCTAATATGATACCCCATTATTCCCGCGAGTAGGTATTGCTTCTAAAGTCAAGGGGATACCCCGGGCAAGTGACGATCATGAAGGCAGACTGACAGGAGAGGCATGTTGATGCTTTCGGTTGTGCGTATGCCAGTGGCCATTATTCGTGCATGTTCTTCTTCGCGTTGACCCGCTTTAGAGAGAGGGACTATATTATATGGCCTATTGGGTGTCTCTAATCAATATTCTAATAACCTGCTTTCATAAGAACAGAACTTGTGTAACTAAAAATTATTAATCAAGTCATCTTTCAAATATTTCACGATAGCTGTTCGAGTATTGCCCAAAACTGATCCCTACATACCATTTAAACTGGTCGTAATGACATAGGACCTATATACGCCTCCACCCGGTGGTGCAGAATAGGTTAAATTTAAAAAAGAAATATAAATCTAGGAACTGGTGAGCATTGTTTCTCTTTAGTGTCCCTACTTCCAGCTGCAGCGAAGGGTTGTTGCCTTATTTTTCTTGAAAAAACGGCTATCCATTGATTTTGTACATGTAATAACTGCATACCACAGTGAACTCAAATGTGTAGAGAGCCAATTTTTAAATTTTGAATTTCAAAAAAATGCATCGTTAAAAGGTTGTGTAGCAAGCAGTGGGATACATTTACTACTTCGCACTGCAAGTGCCCTTGGCAATTCCACACGAGTACGGTAATTGAGTATCTTGTTGGATTATCGCGTACATCGCTCGCCGCCTCTATGCGAGTATTAATGATTTAACCTGGAGACACAAATGAGTTGACGTCTAGTAAACTGTAGGGAGCAGATGCAATTATAGGACGAGAGCTCACGGAAATACCTCGGAGATATGGGATGGACCTGGTACCCTTTCTGCCCGTACCGCTGCACGTTCTATCATTTTCTGCAAGCCTGTTTGTTAAAACATATAGTGTTCCACACTGACTTGACAGAGAAACGGCTTTTCCGAGTTGTAATGAATGTAATTACCTTTTCAGGCCATTATGTAATTACGTTTGGTATGACATTGTTTCAAAATTGCAGCGGATGATCGCAAATGAACAAAGGGCTAGCAATTTCTCTGTCAAAGTTGTAATTGGCGAATTATCTAGTACAATGCCAGTCGGAGGTACTCTGCACAGTTAATTACCAATAACTGGCTTTTACCTATCCTATTCTTTATAAGTACATAGGTTCCGTTCGTCGCGCAAGTAATTAACACAGAGCATTATCAAGCTTAACAGTGGTCTGGTGTATTAAAGCTACTCTCATAGCCATGAGAGAGCCCAGAGATGCATTGGGATATTTTGTGTTTTTTTCCAAGAGTAATTATCATCTGCGTTTCTCTTGATTTGTGATTTGTCCATTTTAAGACAAAAAGGAAAAAAAAAATTTACAATGACTTGGCAGTAAGTTTTAATTTAAAATTATTTAAGCAACATGCATTAGAAATGTTAGCCTACATAGCCCTATCATCTGCTTAAAATAAAAATCTATTACGGTTCACGGACTGTAAGTTATTCGGAAAAAATGAGGCACGTATTGCATTAAATAACTCTGTTTGCCGTCGCTCGAATTTAATTTAACATGCATTTGATGTCGATCATATAACAAATGTCTACCCGCACATTTTGTATTGGTATTAAACGTTGAGAAATCGGTTTTTTTTTTAAATTGAAAAACAGCTTATTTACACAACCATATCTTTTCTTTTATTAGCATCGCTATATAAGGAGCAGGAACACCGTGTCATTAAGGTATACCTGCGTATTATGCGTATGCGTAAAATGCGTATGTAAAATGTCCCTTCGTAATGTCATAAGTGAACTATAAATGGTTGGCCAACGTTTGTAAGACTAGTATTCCGTTAATGCAACTGTTTTACAAACCAAGGCAAAAATTTGACATTAAATTTCCTTCAGTGACCCATATCACCATATGGAGTTCAAAAGTGAGCTTGCCCGTATACCTACAGGCAGACGATCTTCTTTGATTTGTATTACCCCATCCCGAGTTCCTGATAGCTTTTAAAATGTAGCAAAATGACAAATTCTGTCTGCCTTATTCTGCAGGATTTTGCATCATGTATCAACCGACATCCTGTATGGCCTCTTCGTATAGTTCGAAATGGCAAGAGGGAACATACACCAACGCAATACCAGTGCAGTGAATAGAAATATGTGATTTTTTGTAACCAATCAGCCCTTTACCTAAAATTATATATTCACTTTGTTTCACGGGCCTGTACTGTCCGCATCCCCGAAGAATCCTGCCTTTGATAAAATGGGTCCTTATAGTCTAGGGCATACCTCAAGAGCTACGATCGCCAGAATTCCATATTGAAAGTTGAATATTACCACAGGAGCGGCTGGGTGCGTTTGTTCTGCGCTCAACCACATTCAAGCATATATTGCCTCGTGCATTTTGCCAGTTTGTCTTACTGCTGCTCAATAAATCCAGTGAC